CCTGGCCCACGCCCTCCCCCAGGTAAACACGCTCATGTATTGTGCCAGGACGGCCGCCTGCACTCAGTTTCACAGAGATCATCAGCAGTACTGCGGATTGCAACGCCCACCCCCCCAATTTTTATAATGAAAATTTTCAGAAGCAGTCAAGAAACCAAAAGCATAGAACTGGAAACGCCTCCACCCAGATCTGAGAATTGTTAACACTTTGTCGTGTTTGTTTTTTCCCTTCTTTCTCTCCTGTCCACTCCAGTGTTTTTTCTTTTCTTATTTCTGAACCTAAAAATCCACAGTTAAGTTTTCATACTCTGGACCTAGGGTAACGTGTTTTGAGGATCCAAATTCTAGTTGCATTTTTGTTTTCTTATGAAAGTAAATTATAAACATTTTGTTTTTCCAATCCAGACAGTCCCCCACCCTCTCTCCCTTGCTTTTTTTTTCTCTCATTATTTTCCCTTTCTTACCCTAACTCTTGACTACATTTAAACTATGAGGTATAATTATTTGTGGAAATTAAAATCCTAATGTGTGGAATTTGCTTCCAAATACTTGGTAATGATAGATGATGTTTGCTGCTACATACCTTTTCATGTCCCCTCATTTGGTTGGAAAATACCTCAGTTAATAACAGTGCCCCTGCACTTGCCAGTGCTAGAAGACAAGACGACGACGAAGCTTCCTCATGGTTTTCTTACTGCGGCCCAATAAAATGGATGAGGCCCCAGCACATCCACGGTGTGAGTGCAGTAATGACGTTATGAAAACTCCACATGTTAAAGGCGTGCTGTTGACACAATGTGAATAGAATTTGGTACTTAATGTGAAATCCGACTAGTGTGATTTGAGGCAGAGCACTGTGCCTATTAAATTGTAGAACCAGGAAGTAGCCTGCTCTGTGGAAGGAGGGTCAGCAGCAAGGGAATGTTGCTGCTTTTGCTAAAATGATTTAAGATTCCCAGGTACCCGAATTAAACACATACGATGTGATTTTCTTCATAGATGTCCTTGATGTTACACAGCAGTCAGTTTTAATCAAGACTTAAATATTCAAGTCATGATTTCCCATTTTCGATTTTCCTCATCCAGAAGGAGCTGGCAAACAACCCTGACTGTCCTCAGATGTGTGCCTATAAGCTGGTGACCATCAAATTCAAGTGGTGGGGCCTGCAGAGCAAAGTGGAAAACTTCATCCAGAAGGTAAAGCCTGTCCCAGGACACAGTGACTTAAGTGTAGGTTAAGATTGGAGGTGGCTGTCAGTGGGGTGCTGTCTCTCCCACCACCTTTTCCTTCTCTTTTGGGTGAGATTCTTGTCCCAGCAGAATTCCTCTCTGCCCTTCTTTTTCTCCCTACAAACAGCAAAAACAGATACCAGTGGAAGTGTTACGGGGCTTTCTCTAGGGAAGAGCAAAGCGTTCGTTTTGTGCCGAGTGCTTTCCTGATGGTTTGCTCGGCTCTTCTGTGGGGAGCCCTTTGCATGTCCCCAGGGGGACCTGGGTCCCGGCGCTGGCTGAGGGGAGAGGCCAGGCCTTGCTGTTGAGGCTCCTCTGTCCCGGCTGGGCGGATAGCCCCCTGCAGCTCTCTCCGGACGGTGCTGTGAACTTCGCACCTTCTGATGGGACGTCCTCCTCGGAGGTCCTCACTGGGAATGGCTACACTGAACCTGCGGTGACATGATCTGAGTGAGGACCCCCGTTCTCATTACCTGTTTTTTATGTCTTCTTCATTCAAGAGATAGTAACACAAGTGTTTTGATGGGAGAATTGCAGTTGCATAGGTATTCATGATTGTAATTTTGTAAGGAATATGAAAGTTTCTTTGGTATTTAATTTTCCTGTAGGGTGAATAATTCATAGATGTCTGTGAATTGTCTCCATTGTCATTATTTAGAAGCCCTTGGAACTTCCCACAACTAGTTGTATCTGAGTTTCACCATAACTTCTACTTTTAAATTGTAACTGCTCTTTTTTTTTTAAAGGATCTTAAAGTGCTGGAAACTTATTTCCTAAGCCTGCTTGCAGTTGGCCCCAATAGGCACTCTGTAAATACTGGCTCTCTTTCTTCCTCTTGGATCAGAATAATAGGTTAACAATCCAGTTCTGATAAAGAAGTTACACATATAATTGATGAGGTCCCTTCTGTTCATAGAAAAAAAAATTTTAAAGTTGAAGATTGTCCAAAAGTACTAAAGTACTCACTGTTCACTGCACTTTTCTCTCTTCTTGGAAAGTGTAGTAAAACTTAAATAATCCAGCAATTAAAGCCATGAATTACATACATTAAAGTCACTAATTTTATATATATATGTGTGTATATACACACATACATATATACTTAGTAACACTAGGGCAGGAAGATTAATGGAGAGTATGCAGTAATTCTTAATTTAATAAAACATCTTATTCTGAAGAACCTGACTCTTCTTTCAGTGCATGTTGTATTCTGCCTCACAGTATTTCTTTGAATTGCAGGGGGAAATGATAATGTATGGTTCGGTAGCAGAAGTCAAATTGACCTTAGGTCATTGACATTAGAAAAATGTAAAAATAAGTTGGGTCCGGCAGGAGCTCATGTTGGCTCTGAACACATCCACCACATTTTTTTCAGTTTCTAACAAATCATTCTGCCTTTGCAAGGAGAATTCTTTCACATTTCTCAGGGAGATTTCTCTTTTTATTTTGCTTTACAAAATGTTAATAGGATGTAATTAAGATTTTCACTAACTGAAATAGTGGTCTTTTCAATCCAAGAATATGTAAATTCATGGGTTAACTGGGGCATATAAAGTTAATATGTTTTTAATGTTAAGAGTTTTGCCATCTTAACAATACTTTACTTTTGTTTTAAAAGCAAGAAAAAAGGATATTTACAAACTTTCATCGCCAGCTTTTTTGTTGGATTGACAAGTGGATTGATCTGACAATGGAAGACATTAGGAGAATGGAAGATGAAACTCAGAAAGAACTAGAAACAGTAAGACTTCCAATTCTAATTTCCCTTTTCTAAAACTGTGTCCATGCTTAATAAGTTTAGGCTTACAATTAGGAAAAGTGTTATTGAAAGCCATTTCTTAATCTCTGTATTCTTGTTAAACTCTGGTTTCTTAGACACTAATATCCTTCTATTCTGATTTATCTTTTGTTGAGCATCTTTATGCAAGTAGACTAGAACTTTGTTTATCTAAAATTTGTTACCCATAAAATGTCCAGTGGTTTTGTATTCTCTTTCACGTGTTGGTTCTCTGTGATGATGCCTGGTTCACAGGCCTTTGAGGCATTCACTTTACTTAGGCCAAGTTGCCTCTGTTATCTTATTATCACAATAGGTTATTAATATTAGCACAGTAAGTCCTAGTTCCCTCTTCTATAGCCAAGATAAAAAAGCTAGTGGTATTGTCATTGATTCCAGAAGTGCCTCCTCCCACCCATAGCCAGTAATGACTCCTTATTTCTTACAAACCTGAGGCAGAAATTCAGGTGATCCTTGGGCTAGAGGTTCGCGGGCCATGTCTCAGAAAGTCCAGCCCACCCCAGCTCCTCCCCGCACCTGTGAGCCAGCCCTGCAGCTCGCGAGCACCCCCTTTCTCCCAGAGCGGATGGTTTTGCCCCACCTACTCTTGCGTGTGTCTAGTTTTGCTTTTGCTCTGGGCTGTGCTTCTCAGTTGAAAGTAAGGCCCCACGGGGAAGACGAACGCATGGAATGTCCAGTGGAGGCTCGTGGTTTCCATGCAGTCATCCAGAGTCCTGCCAGCAGTCCCAGTTTGGGAAGGCCCGCAGGCAGGAGGGGAGTATTTGACAAATGCCTGTCTGTGAGGCAGGAACTCCATTTAATCACAGGAGACTGGCAGCAAATCAGGTCCTTTGGCACAGAAGGAAATCTATTTGTCTGGCACATAGCATTGTAAAGAATCTGTGTTTAAAATTGCTTACTTTTGGTGATTACAGCAGATCTGCTTCTAATTAGCTTTATACAAACCTTCTGAGAGGACTAGCACATATTTTCTTTATAAGGCAATAAAGTGTTTTAACCTTATCTTATATGTAAAGTAAACTTTAAGCAGCCTCCAGCTTATGAATGGATTTTGTTCCAAAAGTTTTTTAGTGCAGTTTTTGAAATTTGGAACATGTTTTCCCCGTAGTGACAACATTATAAATCGGGGTTTGGTTTGCATGCCAGCCAATAGAGGCCTCTCCAACCTCAGTTCCTCACACTTAACGGTGTGGCTCTGAGTTCTGGGTCTTGGGAGCGGGGTGATAGGATGGCTAGTACAGAAGACAGGCTCTTGCCTGTACTTTTGAGGCTGGCCCCAGGCAGGATATTTAAACAGACAAGAGTATGTTATGGGTGCTTGCTCCCTTCCCTGCAGTGCCTCTGTTCCACATCTGTCACACTGTTTCTCTCGAGTCAGACACCCTTCTCTAAGCAGCGCCCCTCACCACCACACAGTCTCGGCCTCTTCCCCCGCTCCTTGCCTGGGTCCACTCCTTCCGGATGCACCAGGCTCCAGAAAGCCGCCAGCTCTGCCTCCAGCCCCTCGGAGCCGCGGGTGTCAGCTGAACATTGACAAGAAAGACCAGGATTACACCCTCATCCACAGTACAGCCTTGGCATCTCCAAAAAATGATTTGCCAACACCAGTTAAAAAACCGAAAATGGACTTCCTTGTACTGGTTTGAACTCTCAGGAAGGACGCTTTCTTCTGGTTTTGATTTCTGAGGCCAAACTCGTAGCACGAGAAGAGTGGTGATGGCAAAAGGGTAGCGGGCGGGGCCCTCAGACAGACGCCGGCTGAGGCCTCCTCTTCTCCAGGGGGAGTGCTTGCTTCCCTGTCAGCGTTTTAGCCTCAGACACTGGAATGCAGTGCTGACAGGAGGTGGTGACTGTCTTCCACCTGTGGCAGACCTGCAGGCCCAGCTGTGTCTCCATGCACACCTGTCACTCGTGAGTTGGGAATTACACTTGAAAAGAAGGTGTAAGATAGCTAGTTACACAGAAACCCAGCTTATCAGAAAGCATCATGATTGTACCCATGTGGCCTAAACTGACAAATTCCCTCATAAAGTTGGTAGAAATCTGTCCTTGGTTCAGGGTTGGGAGTTCATGGCAGTTTCTTTGTTGAAGTATCTCAGAAATACTTCAGGTCAGATTTCAGGATTAAGTGCTGGTCATCTTGGTGTTAAATCCCACATAGGCTATTTCGCTCGAGGTCACCGGGGATGCTTTATCCCGCATCATGTCGCTGCTGCTCTGAGTCCTGACTGGTTTGCTGGCATCTCCTCAGTTGGGCGGCAGCATGCCTGTAGTGCCTACCCAGAGCGCTTAACATCTCCACGTCCTCTGCACCACGGAGGCATCTCCCCTTTCCTTGAGGTCATTTCCCTGACACCTGGTGGGAGAATTTGATGTGTTGTAATTCTCTTAATTCTCAAATATTTTAAGAATTGGATTTCTTTCAAATGGATTTTGGCCCTGGAGAGAAGGCATAGCATCTCGAGAGGTCAGGCATGAGAGGAATGCCCATGCCTGTAATCCCACAGAAACACTGAGATTAGGCCCAGCAACTGAAGGAATACTTAGGGCAACCTTACGCTTGTTCTTACCTGGCCCTGCAGGGGAGGGTGGTGGGAGGGGTTGAGCTTCAGAAATGCGTTCCTTTCCGTCCACCCTTTTCCTGATTTCCTCATCAAGCTGCCTGTAGGCCGACGGGAATGTCTGTCCTTTGCAAGCATCCTTGTGTTCCTGTTTCTTCTCCCTGCGTTGGCCCTGTGCGCTCTCGTTCTTCTTTCACCTCCCGCTCTTTAATTAACTTCCCGTGAAGAACTCCTCTGAGGGACACTGGTCTCAGAAGCCAGAGGTGGCCACACCACACGGCTTCCTCTCTGGTCCAAGGACTGTGAAAAAGTGAACCAGACCATCAGGGCATTTTCTCACACTGTGTTGGTGAGCAGTTCACTTACCCTGGTGATCTTTGATAATTTCACTTCATCAGTCTGCAGGCTTTTGTTTTCTGTTTTCAAGAAGAGATATTAACATGTTTTTTTTGTGCTGTGTAAGAAAAGCCTTTTGCAAGATTTTCCTTAGGTCAGGGTAACTGGAATGGCCTCAGAACTTCATTTTAACGAGGTTATATGCTTATAAACAGGCAGCGGTCACTTCACAATCTCTTCAAGGTCTTTGTCTCCCTTTGGTTACTAACCCAATGTAGAGTCTGTGATTTCAGCAGCTCATGATTTTATTTTACGTTTAGATGCGTAAGAAGGGTTCCGTCCGAGGCACGTCGGCTGCTGATGTCTAAATGAGTCCCCTGTAGGGTCAGAGACAATATCAAACTGTGTAAGTGAAGACCTGGGTAAAAAGAATGTTTAAAAACCAATACCTTTTTGGTAATGGGTAGTTAGTTAACTTGCTGAATTGAGACAGTGTGTTAAATGTGGTTTAATTTTTAGAATTTAAGAGAATTTAATATATTTCGGACATTGACAGTGAACACGAGTTATTGTATAAAAATTTCATCTGTGGAGCAGGATGAATATAGTAATTCCAAGTTAGTTCATAGTGTTGCACGTTAGAATCCAGCTGCCAAGTACACTCACTCATCATGCAGCTAATTTCCCATTGATAGCCAGTTCATTGACCTTTTTCTCACCGGGACCTTTTGTGGTTAGTAAGGAAACATGTAAAAGCATTTAAAATCAAAGATCCTTCATCCCATGCCATAAGAGCCAGTCTCAGTAACTCACCTGAGTTGAGATTTTTTCTTACCACCAGGAAGTCCTCCCTCATGCTGACTCTTCGGGTATCTTTACATTTAGCTGTAATATGTGTAAATACACTGGTTTTCACTTCCAGTGTGAAATATTTGTATGGTGTTACTTCATTCACACACATGTACATGCCCAGAAAAGAGATTTTCTTATAGGGGAGAAAAGAGAACATCAGAATCTAGCCCACATGTTGAGACCAGGATGGGTAAACAAAAACAGGCAGTCTATTGCTGCCACTTGTTAATACTGAACTGTGGTGGTTATTGCGGAAACAAGACACAACAGTCCTCTCACCTGCTGTTTCTTTGCTACCCCCTGACATGTACTGCCTGCTCGTCAGTTACTGAGCAAGCGATGTTCAGTCCTGAAGTAAAGTAGTACCAGTAAGAATGGATGAACTCCACTAGGGCTCCTCCAAAAGCCCTTTTCTTAAAATTCAGTGTTCACTTAAAAAATTTTTTAAATTTATTGTTACTTTCATTAAGTTTTCCTGAGTTTCTGTGATTTATTTCTTCTAATTTATTTTTCCTCTAATGAAACAAAATATGCTCTTAGTAAGACCTGAGTCAAGAGATTAAATGTTAAAAATGCAGTAGTTGGTATGCACTGTCAGCCAGTTTTGCTACACTGAGGATCTTTTCCCTAGAGAATGTTTGCGACAAGCTGCGGTCTAACGTGTTTTGTGTGTCTTTGAATTTTAACACATTGCACTGTCTTTTGCTTTTCTTACAGTTACGTAATCAAGGTCAAGTGAGGGGCACCAGTGCAGCCAGCGATGAGTGAAGAAGAGTCTGACCATGTCTTGCAGTGTTGACGTTTCCCAGACGTGTGCTTGTGGTTCTGTGCCCACAGGCACAGGTCCCAACTACGTGTGTATATATGTTTGTGTGTGTCAATCTGTAGCTGTATATAAAACGCATGTAGAGCTACAGGTCCCAGTACACACACTTGTGTATATATGTACATACAAACATACTGAAGGGATTAGTACAATTTCTCCAAAGTACTGTACCTATCTTCAGCAAGAATGCAAAAGAAAATATTTTCAATATATATACCTGGAACAGATTTTATTAATTATCAGAGTAATACCATTAATGGATGAATTGACTGCAATGTAATACTAGCTGGTATGTTTCGTAAATGGCAAGTTGTGGACCAAGATATATATATATATACATATATATATATAGCCTTTTATTACTTTTTTGTTCCTTTAAATCAGTCTCTTATAAACTTTAATTTTAGTCCCATAATCAACAGAATCCCACAGGAAAATTTATTAAAAATCTTTTGGTATTCCAAGGAATCTGGAACAAAACTCTGAATGTATTTAATTCTGGATTTTCATTATCATACAGCCAAATTGAACAATATCTATTAGTAAAGAGAGTTACAGGCCAGTTTTTACTTGTTTGCCCCTGAGGTAAAGATCCTTTTAAAAAGAATTCCATTTTTTATTAAATTTTTGTATTTTAAATTTCAAGTATTTTTCTACATCAAGTCTAGGAAAAATGGAAATGACGGTCTTTGATTTATTAAAAAAAAAAAAAAAAAAGAACACTGTATGACTTTTCAGGCTTCTGTCAGGCAAAGACAGAAATTGATGAAGAAATTAATGGGATTGTAGGCCGTTAAGAAAAACTGGAAGTACAGCGCTTCCATGGAGTCTTGTTTCTAAAATGACTGTTTTCTGAAATTACAGCTTGGAAACTATGCAAATGATCTAGATTCCTCACAAGTTAACACGGTAGAACATAGATAGTGATGCTGTTTTGCTCTTTTCGGGTTGAAATATATACTTGGGTGGGGGGAGACGCTGCATCTGAGACAGGAAGAGATTCAGAAGCAGCGCGAGGCCTGTCTGCACATGGTTAGGCGGCCAGCGCAGCTGCACCCGCACCCGCACCCGCTGGGGTGTGCTCTCCTGGGACGTCATCGGAAGACACCCTGAACTCGCATCGGGAAAACTCGGCCCAGAGGCTGCTGGCCTCCTTTTGTCCTCTTTCTTTTTTCCTTTTCTTTTAAGAACAATAGCTAGGTAAGATTTTTATCATCTTTCTCTGTCCAAGTCTAGTTCTTCACCTGTCAGTCCTGGGAGCTCAAATAGAATGTTGTTGTTGAAGCCTTGGGGCCCCAGCCATCTTCTTTAACCTCCCACCCCTCCTGCCCCATGCCAGGCCCCGTGGTCATACCACATTTGTAATCTGACTGGCTGACAGCCCCGCCCTCCCTGCTCCTGGTTTCCTGCGGAAGCCCTGTGTCCCCACTGAAGTGACCGCAGTGGCCTGGACACGGCTGTCCAGGGTTAGTCCTGCGTAGCAACACCTGGTTCCCCTCGGCTGCAGACCCCTCACCACACGCGTCCTCTGTGCACTCAGGATCAGAACCGACGTCTACTCTCTGGGCACTGCTGTTAGATAGGTTTTGTCAAGAGCATAATCATTGTCTGCAAAGTGTCTGATGCCAGGAAGATTATTGCTAATCTGGTGAAGTAAAGAGTCTCGCCTTCTTTTAATGAACTTCACTCACTGGCGTCTGTAGCATCATTTGGGAGCTTGGGCGCACATGGAAATGAAGGCCCGGCGCATGGATTTTAATGTTTTTCTAACTGTGGAGATCTGAGGGAATGTGTGGTGAATGTAAAATATCTAGTTTACTTGGCAGTCTCTTGTGTAAATTACAGTAAAACAAAGTAAATGAAATTTAAACAAAAAATAAATTTGATCACAAAATGCCACTTGTGTGCTTGAGTGGTTGTTTGCCTGATGCCACGTCTGGTTCAGAACACTGTGAACCACCTCTCTGCTATTTTTTAAAGAATTCTGTGGTGTGCAGCACCATCACTTTGGGGGAAAAATTTTTTTTATTGACTCTTTTTTATTGCAAACCTCTGTTCTTGAGGTGTGCCTATGCCACCTTAAGTTGTTACATTTGATTTCTTAAATAATTTTGTCTCTAAAAGCTGAACAGTAAAGAAGGATTATATATTCTGAGGTTTTCTAAGAATTTTTAAAGGGGAAAAGTATGGAAAACCCATAGTTTTTTTTTTTTTTTTTAAACCCATAGTATTTTTTAAAAGTACTCAGTAAGGATTTTGCCATTAGATTCTGCCCATTTCAAGACCATGGCTTTTTGGTTTGGGGCCAGGTTTCACACCTCTTCTCTGAGGTCACTTCCAGTCTTCTGGTTTTAGACACATAACTTTTCTCGTGGTGCTGGGTTACCATTCTAGAGCAGTTCAACCTTCAGAGAGGTGGCCAACTATCTAGATGGAGTTAATGTATTTCCAAGGTGTTCCCATGTGTGTTTTCCGAGGTGATGATCTCAGTGTTTTACCTCAGAGGTGATGTTTGCATTCGCGTGGACCGCCTGTCATCCGTGGGTTCAGCAGTGCAGAGTGCAGTGTGGGAGACCGGCGTGTGAACAGGTAGACGACAGCTCCGTCTGGTAAGTCGCCATCTGACAGTAGAGTTGGTGAGAGACACCTTAGATGACATCCACGTCACACACATGAGAAAGCGAACATCCAGGCTGAAGGCAGCTAGCTAGCGGGGTCCCTGGGAGCCCCCTCCTGACCCCTGACCAAGTCCCGGACTCCTTGTGTGTGTGTGGGGCCGTGGGGCCCAGGTGTGGTGTGTGCAGTTAGCCAAGGCACCGTGTCCTCCAGCGCGTGGTGGTCCTTTTCAGTGTGGTTTCTCTCTCCTGCTGCACCTGTTCGCCAGCCCGCCTCCCGGCTTTTGGTAAATCACAGCTAAGATCACCTACGGACCTGCGCTCTTGTGCTCAGTCATGCCCAGCTCTGTGGCCCATGGAGTGTAGCCCACCAGGCCCCTCTGTCTAAGGAGTTTTACAGCTAAAAAATGCAGTGGGTTGCCATTTCCTCCTCCAGGGGATCTTCCTGACCCAGGGATCGAATGTGCATCTGCTGTATCTCATGCATTAACAGGCAGCCTCTTTACCACTGAACCACCTGGGAAGCTTGTGGACCTGACACCTGGCTTTTAAAACTCACTTTCCTCTCTCCTTTTCAACTCATTAAGCAATAAAGTTTCACAGCCCAGCCCAACCTACCTTTCAGGTCTTGTCTCTGAGGGAATAAAAGACAATCTATTAGCAGCTGTTTTGTCCATTTCTCCTCCGCAATCAAGTTGACAAGGGGTTGGCATAGAATTCCCTATTCCTGACCACGTGGAGGTAGAATGTTCTGACTGTTCTTAGACTCAAACCTAATACCATTGAGAGTCACTGGATGTAAGGAGATAAAGAGTTGAGTGGGTCCAAAATTGATTTTCTCAAGTTGCCCTCATTGTCAGTTTTAGAGTTGGGGCCTTCGCGAGATTGGAGGGAGGGAGGGAAGGTGCTTGAAGACAGGTTAAAGGTTGTCCTGCTGACCCTGGAGCGTCTGCAGGGCGTGCTTCCTAGGAACCCTGCCAGGGTCACTTGGCGTTTTCTGACTTGGAAATGTTAAGCAACCGCGATCTCTTCAAAACCAGTTCTTAAACCAGATTGGACTAGGGAAAGTAGAAAACTTTTCAGTGTTCTGTTACACTTGGGCTACTGGTTTAAAGCAGTTCAGCACATGCAAACCAAAAGTTCTCAATCTTGGCTCCACTAAGAATCACAGGGGAACCTTTAAAAATGTCAGTTGCCCACCAGCTGCTTTTCTACAGCTTGTGTTGAGTGTGCCCTGTTTTCAAACGACAGGGGAAAAGCTTAGAGAATTTCTAGTCTCCTCCTGAAAGACGGTCGAGAAGACCACCTTCTAAGTCATCAGAGTCATGCCGGTTCTTCAAAGCCCAGTGCCCACTGTCCACACAGCCTTTGTTTGCCTAGCATGACCGCCAGTGGTCCATTCCCCTCACTCGGCTCCTACAGGCTCGCTGCCTTGGTTAATGATGCTCATTGCTTGTCATCTTTCAGGTGTCCGTATGTTTCGCTTCCCACGTGAGCTCGGGAACTCCTCCTGGGCAGGAGTCACAGTGGTACCCCAGAACCGCCTCTCCTGGTGGAACGTCTGACTCTGAAGCTGCTCCTGCCCACAACAGACTCCTGCCTGTGCTGTGCAGGGCCGCTTCTGAATCCTGGGGCTAGAGGGGAGGGGAGCATGACCAAAAAAAAAATCCATGAGATCAAATTTCTGCTCTGAGAATCAGATCCTGACTGCCAGCCGCAGCAGGAGGCAGCGCTTCTGGTGGCTCAGCGTACAAAGTACGAGGCGAGGACAGACGAGGGAGCTCCTGGTCCGTGTTTCTTCCTCTCGTTCCAGATGCCAACAGGAGTTTTGGTGGACTCCTCAGGAGTCTTAAAACCAAACTCGAAGTCTTTACTCCTCCCATCACTTAACTGCATGACTGGCTGTGCTGCCCAAGCCAGAAATCTTAGTTGATCACTGAGTCTTAAAAGTGTCCCCAAGTGCTTGTGAAATCCTGCTCCTCTTGAGGTATCCTGGTGCAAGCTGTGCTCCCGTGAGCCAGCCTCTCATCTGGGGCAGTGTGTCTGCAAACACAGTAAATGTTTTTGGCTTTACAGACCACGTGATCGATCTCTCACAGCTATTCAACTCCGCTCTTGCAAGGCAAAAAGGGCCATAGACAATAGGTAAAGTAAGCATGTCTGTTCCGATAAAACTTTATTTACAGAAACAGGCGGTGGGCCAGATTTGGCTGAGGCGATAGGTGCCAAGTGCTGGACTACATCTTGTAAAGCCTTAATGAGGCTCTGCCAGAGGTGACTTTCTAGAATGGCTCCTGATGGTGCCGCACCCTTGCCTGAACACCTGCATGGCTCCCAGGGGCCCCAGGGACCCCAGTAGCCAAGGCCTGTGAGCAGTGAGAGCCTCAATCTCCTATTTGTAAAGTGGAGCCAGCAATGCTTGTCCACCTCATGGCCACTGGATGTGTGAAGGGACTGGGTACTGTCTCTAGAAAGGCTCCAGCCTTAGGAAGACAGTCACTGCTGTTTGCCATCTGATTGCCAACCCAGAGTCAGACACGCACCAACCAGAAGTTGGAGGGTAGAGCTGTGCTAACAAAATCTGTTGACATAAAAAATACAAGATAATCCCAGGTAGCTAAACTTCCCGAATGGCATAATTTTACGTTGTTGTATGTCTATTGTCCAGGAAATACCATCTGTGACTGTTAAACCAAAATGCTATTCTCATGGGAAAGCTCACAGATGCCCTATACATTTTCCATAATTAAAATCTGGCTCCTTCCATAGATGCCATTGCTAACATGTTAACCTGAGCTTGGCCCCCGTGGCTCCTGACCGGGCACAGTGAAGCTAGGCCTGGAAAAGCAGCCTGGAGTTTTCCCCGAGTCAGTGACACTCCACCTTTGGTCGAATCTGTTTACTCCTTTGGTTTCTGAGAAGCAGTAAAGCGCCGTGCCAAGTCTTCGCCTCGTGGATCACTTATATATTCTGACACCACCTGCTCATCAGTTGATAGTAGAATTGCCTTGCACTCGAGACTGAGGGGGCTTCATGAAGTGGAACGGAGGCGTGGCTTACAATGTTTATTAATGTATGTGCTAAACAAAAGCCTCGCCTCTGGGCATCCCGTTGCAGGCCGGCTCCCTGCAGCCCCGAATACTGATGACTGCTGTGCTCTCTCAGAGCCACCTCCATTTTCCCATGGCCCCGGAAGCCCTGAGACCACTCAGCCTGCCGAGAAGGGCTGTTGGTGCATCCCATCCATTCTGTTCTGTAGCTATTGCTCCAGAAAGATCCTCCCCGGAGAGGCACTCTGTAGGATGGGGTTCTCCTAAGGCAGGCTGGAGAGAGGCTTAGGATCAGTCCCAGAACAGTCGTTCATTCATGTAGATCAGAGCGTGGCAGATCTTTTCTATGAAGGCTCACGTCATATTTCATAAATATTTGGGGCTTTGTGGGCCATGCAGTCTCTGTCACAGCTACTCATTCTGTCTTTGTAGCTCAAAAGCAGCCTCAGATGTTGTGCAGATGAATGGGTGTGGCTGGGTTCCAATAAAACTTTATTTGCACAAACAGGTGGTGGGCTGGGATCTTGTCCTAGGGCCACAGTTTGCCAATCTCTAGATTCTTGCCCCACCCCCCAGACCCCCCACTAAAACAATCAACATTTAATAGTGTCTGTCAGGCATTGGTCTAAGCACAGCATGTAAATGGCCTTTAATCTTCACTACCAGTGACTCAGTGGTAAAGAATCTGCCTGCAGTGCAGGAGATGTGGGTTCGATCCCTGGGTTGGGAAGATCCCCTGGAGAAGGAAATGGCAACCCACTCCAGTATGCTTACCTGGGAAATCCTATGGACAGAGAAGCCTGGAAGGCTACAGTGCATGGGGTCTCAAAAGAGTCGGACACAACTTAGCGACTAAACAGCAACCACCCTATGAAGTAGGTGCTATCACCCCCTTTCACAGATGAGGACATGAGGCCCAGATAAGTGTAATTTTGCTAGGTATTATTACGGAAAGCAGTGGAGCCAGGGATCTTACCCAGGGGCCACTCAGGAGTCACGGACAACCTCTGCCCATCACCCCTGTGTCTCCCTCTTTGAGAGCTGCAAGGTTCCAAGCCTGTGGCATATACTAAGCGCTGACATAAGGAGCAGCCACAATGATAATTCTGAGGACACTCTTATGTTCTCAAACACCACTTAGGAGCAAACTTCCATGACCAATTCTTCCCAGCGCTCAGAGCCAAGAAAGCAGTTCTTCCTCAACAGAGCTCAGTTTCCCCCTCAGTCTAGGTGTCAGGAAACTCCCATGTGGCATTTCATGTCCAAACTGAGGCCACCGCTTTAGGCAGGCCTCCTAGCATCACTCCACCCACACCCACCCAGTCCCCCTTGCCACCCCTCCTACTTGAACTTTGTGACGGTGCTGTGACATTTGAGGGCCTGTGCCCACGCCTCCTGCGTGGAAGTCCCCTCAAACTCCTTGCGGGAAAGATTTAGTGATGATTCTGACATAGGTAGAAACAGTGTCTGCCCCGTCAAGGTGAGAAGTCAGGAGAACTGCAGTCTTCAGCTGCGGGTAATCTTAAGGCCTGTGGCCCGCTGGAGGGGGAGGCCACCAGGGAGGCCCCCACACTGACAGTGGGGCAATTTGGGGTAGTTTCTTTTCCTCCGAGAACTGTCCTCAGTATCTCGCTTTACAGAAGAAGACTCTTACTTAAACTATCTCTGTGAAGCTCGGGACCTTGTGGGCACTTCCCCGTGTGCACGCCCAGCCGTGCCTTCTCTCACTGTGGGTAGGAATTTTCGCTTCTGCATCTGGTGGCCCATGAGATCACCCCTTTCCCTAGGCGTGTGCCAGAAAGCCGTTGGTGGGGGGATTTCAGGATTCCTCCCAGCCCCTTCCAACCCAACAGGCTCAGATTTTCCACTTGTGCGATTGAGGTCAGCGCCTGCATTCTGGCTGGCGAGCTCCCCAAACATGCAAGCTCCAGGCCTCAGGCAGGGGCTTCTCAGACT